ACACACACACACACCTGTTTTGATTACTTTACATTTTTTTCCTTCTGATTTCCCCTGAGTTTTCAGGAATCTATTCCTTGGAATAAGTAGCTATATGTCTTCGGTGCTTGTTGCTCTTTGCTCTGCTGTCAACTGCAACAAATGTTCCAAGAATGTAAAATACAGTACTTAGTAACAAAATCACCTGGGATCCCCAAACTTTAAAGTGAAAAAACACATACTGATTGTACAGTTATGCGTGCTAATATATATATAAAGTGCAAGAAGCTTAAGTAGATTGGACAACATTTGTTTTTCATGGTTTCTGATTAGCCCGGATAGAAGAAAGCTGACAGAAGGAGATCTTCCCCCTCCCATTTTTTTCCTGACTTCAGCTTCTACCCTCCTTTAAAAACTACTACTGATTCTTAGCGGACCATCTAGAATAGAGTGAGATGGGCCGTGGGGGTCTCCTGGGGAATTAAGGGCATGTATCACAACCCATCCAATTTTAGATCATTCTCCAACTCTCAGATTGGCTTTTCAGTGGTATAGAACTTCCCTTCCACAAGCTTTCTTCCAACATGTTCAGAACAAATTAAGTAAGATGCAGTGAAATATGGGAATGTTGTTGTATTCTCTCTGGTGCAGGCAGGCAGTAGTCGCATGCTCACACTTGCTCTGATTTCTAGACTACAGAATAGTGTAAAGCAGCAGCTGATAAGGAGTAGACAGCTTTGGACTTCACATTAGTGCTAGCCGGCATAACCAATAGTGAAGGATTATGGGAACTGTAGTCCAAATCCACCTGGAGAACCATCATGCTTATGCTAAATTACACATCATCTCAATGTTGTGGCTCAACTCTCCTTGTTGTATCAGTGCAGTTTCATGGCACGTTGTCCACACATGCGTGTGTTTTTGTACGATGTCCAAATTGGCTGAGTGTCTCATTATAATAAATTGTGAGGTCATGCTGTTTCAGACGTTATTGCAATACGGTTGATGGGGGTGTTCCGCTTTGTTTTTGTATTTTTGGTGATATTGCTTTGGTGGTATTGGTGTTGGCAGTAGAGATGGGCACTTCTTGTGGTTCAGTGGATTGGGCTCTCAGGTGTTGTGCCGGCGCCCTGGATTCTACGTCCCACCTCCTCCTGCACGTGTCCTTTCAGAACCATGGGCTTCCCTGCCCTGCCTCCTCCTCTGAGGGTGCTTGCGGGAGAGATGGGGCATGGAAGCTAGGGCAAAGGTGCAAGATCTGTGGGCTCTATCTGCCAAACTGCAGCAAGTGCCCATTTCTAGGCAGTAATAAAGCTTGTCATTTTAAACATGTGTGTTTATTTACACTCTCTATGCTTTGGGACACGTAATTAGCAGTATTTTCAGAACTGGTATTTAATACCAAGTTTAAAGTGCAGTATGTTATTTTCACTTATATTCTCCAATTGTTTCTTTAGTGATTTCCAAAACTGACCCCAGTACTGCTAATGGGCAGAGAAATAGTATTTATGTGTACCAGCAAGATGTAGATATCACAAGTGAATATGAACTTCCCAGTGGGTTTAAGAAAAAAGGCAAGACTGCATTAAATTATACAAGGTGTTGGTTATGTAAATTTTATAGCTAAATTTGTACAAAGTTATAGCCTGAACACTTATTGGATATCCATTACAGAATCTGTTGTATTAGTGTATATATACAGTATATAAGAATATATACAAACACATTAATTGCATATTAAGGTGTGACTTTCCCTTGTGAAAAGATATATCATTACTGTATAAGAGAGGTGGTCTGTGTTCCAAGCAGGGTGGGCTGTTCATGTTAAATGGCAGGATGAGGCAGCTTTTCATTGGAACTGTGGGCCACCTTAGTTTTACAGGTACAGTATATCTCATTTAAGTGTTCAGTATCTATAACTTTCCTGAATCTGATTATTTTTTAAGCATGAAAAGAATCAGTTATCTTCTGTTGATTGGCTTAATTTCTTTCCTTATACTCCTATTTTGATGGATTAAATAATTATTTACTTGGATTATCTTTTTATCTGTCATGGTGGGGGAAAATCTCTTTGTTGGTAGCATACTGTGAAATGTTACAGCAGGCTGCATTTTCAGAGATGTGATACTATCCTGCTTCATACCACAGCTGGTTAGAATGGCCATTGAGTTCTTCCGTCTTTCTGCAGTAACCTCCGATGAGAGCAACAGAACCTGGGGAAGAAGCACAGCTTGTCATCAGGAAGAATTTGAAGATGTGAAGCAAAGCTTTAAAAAGAAAGGTTGTACTTGGGGACCAAACTCAGTGCAAACAAAAGAGCGCACAGATTGTAAAGAGAGGTATGACTGTTCATGATGTGGAAAATAATTTATGAAATATATTTGATATAAATTACCCTACCACACGGAAAATGACAGTGATCAAGATGATAGAATTAATAGGAATAGGTGAAAATTTTGCCTCTGTACCCTTTTTATTTACAAGAATTTACCAAAATTAACCAGCACTGTAAAATGGGCCTAAAAACTGGCCAGCAGTCAACAGACCAAATGCATCCTTGGCCATTGATGAGTGTTGGGCATCGAGGCTCAGGGATGAGTCCAGGAGCATGCCTTCGCTGCAAACCTGAGGTTTTTAAGAGGAATGTAGCCATATCTAGCACAGATTGAATTCCTATTCTCTAATCTCCCTTTCAACTAAGAGCACCTTTGTTTGTCTGGATTAAGCTTCAGTATGTTTCTGTCCTCTAGCGATTTAGAATCAAAACAGCCTCCTTAGAGTTGGATGGAAAAGAGATCTGGAGTTGGATGATAGTGGCATACTATCATCCAACTCCTAACCCTAACCAGCACACTTTGCTTTGCTTTTTGCTTTACCGGTGACACTAAACCTCCAGACTCCAGGCAACCTCTCCAATAGTTGCATGTGTATGTTAAATAGCATGGAATCTAGGATGAACGTGGAGTAAAAAGTATCAAGCCAAATACCAGAGTGTCACACAAGAATTCCTGAGTCCAGCCTTCTCAGGTAATCTGTCTGTGGAGGGCTACATCAAGGTCTCATCCTAGGGTGTCTCAGAAGGATACCATAGTTGATGGTGTCAAAAGCCACCCAGAGGTCCAGCAGAACTAAGAGGGACACACACTTCATGTGCATAGCTCATCCACCAGGGTGATCAATGCCATTTCTATGCACAACCAAGCATAGAGCTAGTTTGAACGTGATCTAGGTGATCTATCTCACCCAGAAACTCATATTCGTGAGAGGTCAGCACATTTTTCAGAAACAAGAAAGGAATGTTACAGAGACTTATGGTACACCAAGAATGTAGTAATGGCTAAAACATATTCTGCTGCATAGTATAGAGCCAAGGCAGACTAGTCCATTATTAATGTTTTCTGTTAACCCAGTAAAATATGGCTATCTGTGTAAAGAACATTATTTTCTTCTTATCTCTGATTTTAGAGTAAGACCACTCTCAGATGGCAGTAGTCCTTGGTCAACACTTCTGATGAAGAATCAGAAAGGTGTTCCACTAGCTTCATTGTTCATGGATCAAGGTGAGTATGTGCAGCTGAATAAGGGATTTTTTTTTCTTTTTCAGATCTAGTAGAGATTAGCACCCAAAATTTAACCACACACTTTAGAGTGCTTAGAAATATGACTATAGGGCTTGGCCTTTCTGCATAGAACACCAGGTGCACTTGAGTTTCACAGTTAGACTCAAGAGGGTTTGGTCTCGTGGGATTATATGCCTGTCAATTTTACATTGCTAATTATGTTTGCTGCTGGCTGGATAGCGCAGTGCATTGGAGTACTGTACCTGGTTTGCAGACCCAGGAGTTGGGAATTCAATTCCTTGTGCCTTCCAGGAGAACAGCCAGTCTGTGCAGCCTTTGGCAACTTGCATAGTCCTGGAGCACCATGTTCCCTTTATCTAGGAGGGATGTAAGGAGTCACTTTGTTTGGAGATGAAACTCTGTCTAGTCTTGGCATGTGATCAGTTGTAAGCATCAGTGAATCCTGATGTAGGTAGTCTTGGTCTGATCTTGAAACTGTAAACTGGAGGCATTTGGAACTGAACAAGATTTTTTTTATATGCACATCCTGAAGTTTGCTGCTGGCCAGCAATCCAGTGTTACCATTTCATTGATGTTTTATTCTGTAGATGTTCTCTTGGTATATGTAACACTGGTGAACTACTAGATAGATCCGTCTTTTAGGTCTCTGACTGCAGAGCCAGACATTGAGAGTTCAGTTCCCCACTGACAATGGAATTGAGTCTTGACAGGGGCTGGACTCAGGGATCCACAGGGTCTTGTCCAGCTCTGCAGTTCTAAGACTATTGTTGCTGCTGCTGTTGTTGTCATGGCTGCATAGTAATTGTTACAAAGCTATCTGTGATTTCATATTGGTGTTTATTTGTTTCTTTAAAAAAATCTTCTTTTCAATATCAATGCTTGAACAAATGTTCTGCCTATACAGAGCAGAAGCTTTCCCCTGAAGGTCTGGAAACTAAGCGACCAAAACAGTTAAAATTGCCAAATCAGGCCTACGTTGATCTACCTCTTGCGAAGGATGACCAAGGACTAAACTCTGCAGAACAGGAAAGGTTTGAAGAAGGAAATCCAGCAAGTTCTGCAAACAGCACTCCACAAATGACCCCTACAAACAGTTTTGGTAAAACATTACAGAGAAGGAGAACAGACTCTGTACTATATGGCTGTGCTGTCCTTCTCGCATCTGTACCACTGGGCTTGGATATTAGGGAGCTGAACAGAGCACAGGTTCCAGATGAAGTGTTGCCCAAGGAGGAAAAGAAAAAACGTGATGGCCTCTTTCAGCGAGCTTCCAAGTTTCGCAGAAGTGCAAGCCCTGTAAGGCTGCAGTCCAAAAAAGAGGAGACCCACATCCCTTCGTTATGCCCATGTGAAAGTACTGTGAATCTTCTGTCCATGTCTTCGGTTTCCACTAAATGCCTCCTTCAGCCTGATAATGAAGATGCAATTGTGAACACACCACCCAAGAATGGAGATGTTCCCATTAAATGCTTTTTGCCAGAAAGTCCTGTAAGTGGAAGAGAACACAAGACCAACATTGATTCTAGTGCTGACTCTAACTTGCCATCTCCAAGTCTTCCTTTGAAACAAGAAACCCAGTGTGTAGCAAATACCTCTTCCTCAAAAGGGAGACTTCTGGGTCACAGACGGACTGTGTCAGATGGAAATCCACATCATTCCACATGTGAGTAGAACAAAGTGTGCTTGGTTACTTGGAGGGAGTTATTATTACTCTGATGAATAAATAACACTGAAATGATTATGAAACAATAAAGCACTTTATAAGCACTTATGTTAAACAGAAGCCATGAAAGTTAGTTGCGTACCACCTCCTCTTCAGACTGAAGAAAGGTATCTGGTTCCATTTTTAATGCCTTTATATGCATTGCCAATGTGGTGGTAATGTTATTCCCCCCCCCTCCATGAGACTGGGTAAGTTGATATTACTAGGTAATGTAAGCCATTCTTAGACATATGATCCTCTTTATCGAGAAAAAAAAATGAATGTGAGAAGAAGAGTACAGTGGACCCTCGACTTACAGACGGCTCGATTTACAGACTTTTCGAGTTACAGACTTCTCTGGCCACAAAATTTAGATTCGACTTGCAGCCAGAGAATCGACTTACAGACCAGAAAAAAACCAAAATGGAACAAAAATAGAATAAAAACTGCTGGTTATGGGATTAATCGGTTTTCAATGCATTGTAGGTCAATGGAGATTCGACCTACAGACTTTTCGACTTGCAGCCACTGTTCCAATACAGATTAATTCCGTAAGTAGAGGGTCCACTGTAGACAGAGAGGCAAAGATCCAGAGATCTTGAATGTGGCAACTTTAGTGACTTGATCTTAGCTTGCACTTTGAGAATTTGACATTAGCAGGCAACCGTTCATTGGTCACACCCAATGTCCCAGGTTGTTCTATTTTATACAATAACCATTCTCCATATCTTGCATCCATACCATTTACAGTATATCATTTCCCACATTCTAAGTATATACAAAGGATTGATTCTGTCTTGCCTCCCTCTCCAGCTGTTGGATTATTGGTTATTATGATATTATTATTATTGGTTATTATATAATATTATGATTATTGGTTATTATGTGAGATTTAAAGATCATATAGTCCATCCCCAGACCTGAATTTAGACTGCCCCTTTGTTCTGTCATATTTATGTACCTTTGTCATGATTTCAGGGGAATGAGAAAACAGTTATATAAACACCTTACAATGTCTTCTTATAGGTTAAGCCATTTCATCTAGGTTATATGTCTGTTGCCCAGGATAGGGACACATGTTCTAAGAGCTGCTCTCTGGAATCATTTTGTTCTATTAAATGTCCAGAACCTTATAGATGTTGACTAGTTATTCATATACTGTATATGCCACTCTTTTTTAATACAGTGGTGCCTCGAATTACGATGTTAATTCATTCCAGCGAAATGATTGTAGAACGAAAACATCGTAAAGCAAAATTAAAAAGCCCATAGAAATGCATTAAAATCCAATTAATGCGTTCCTATGGGCTTGAAACTCACCGTCCAGCGAAGATCCTCCATAGCGTGGCCTTTTCCCTGCCCGTGCAGCGAGGAATCCATCCCAGAAAAGAGCGGGGAGCCATTTTTTTAACCCGGTGGCCATTTTGAAACTGCTGATCAGCTGGCCGAAAATCATCATTTTGCGAGAAACAGTTCCCGAAGCAGGGAACCGATCATCGCAAAGCGAAATTCCCCCATAGGAAACATTGTTTTGCGATCGCAAAAACTTCGTTGTAATGTGATTTTGTCATAAAATGGAGCGCTGGTCTTGTGAGGCACCACTGTATATTTTTAACTATTTTAAAATCATTTTAAATTTTTTAATATGTAAGGTCATTCTAAATTTGTTCTTCATTGTCTTTTCCATCTAGCTAATGGAATTGTTGGTGGAGCTTCTGAGATTTCACATGTTTCATCTCTCCAGCAAAGAAACTTCCACAGTGATCCTCTACCTGAAAAGCAAGGAACTGTCAATATTATTCCAAGACCTCGGCCTTCTTTTTTAAGAAGCAGGATAGATCCTTGGCAGGCAATTCCTCGAAGCATGACATCAAACTGTTTTGAGATAGATAATTCAGAGGGTAATAGACGTTCAAAGGCTAACTCACTGACAGACACTGAGGACAGAACTAAATCCCATATGCCCTGTTTACTTGATATTGATGTAGAAGGTCAGAACAGTGACTGCACAGTGCCTTTGTGTAGGATAAAGAACAAAGCATGTCGACCATCAATACACGAACTGGAGATGGAGTTCTTGTCCTAAGTGCCTTAGAATTATTTTATACCCTTTTTAAAGGAAAAAAAGCAAAACAAATAAAAAATGTGTGTGTGTGTGCCGGGTATTACTTTATGCTGCTTTTCCCCCCTTGAAGTTGTGTTCAACAAAAGTGCTACTTCACCAGTTAGGTAATGGAGAAGATATTATGGAAGAGGGTTGCTTTGCAGACCTGTCTTTGTCCCTGATGTTCAATAATAGTTTTCTAAATGGATTTACAATTTTAAAAATCAATAAATTTCTCACAGATTTAATTTATAATTCTTGTTTGCCAAATGTCAATTTCCTTTTTTCCTCTCTCTCTCTTTTTTTCAATCCAGTTTTTACCATTGTCTTTTTTCTTTGGCAATTCGATATGCAATATAGTGAAGTCCCATCATGATTAAGAGATGCTTTCCCTGCAGATAGTTTATTTTAAAAAGCACTGTCAAAGAATGTGGCTTTTTAAAGACACTGTTGTAGAAACCTATTCTGTCTTTAGTGTAGAAATAGTAACTGTTATTTGGTAATTGATTGGTAACCACATAGTGGTATTTTAGAATGGAGTTATGAGATTATGGCTGGTCTCCTATTGGAAGAATTCAGAGCAGAAGTGCAGATACAGAAGTATTCCTCGAACACTTATACAACTTCTGCATATGCAACGTTGCATGCTCATTCTTCCCCTGGATGAGAGATCAATTGGGGCACCAGTCATGCAACTGGAAATCTGCCATAGAGGGGAGATATTTATGCAATAGCCCTTTTGCTCCATGTTTTCACAATAGCATTCTGACCGTAAAGAACAAATGATACCTTATTTTCTAAAAAGGTAGGATTTTGCCCAAATAATTACTTGTAATGAACTGTGATGTTGCTTGAAACAAGCACATTTGGAGTTAAAATTCTCATTGAACTGTATTCTAACTAGGTGATATTCAGAAAAAATAATTATTTTAAGATTAAATTGACTTCATTTGAAACTCACATTATGAGTACAGACACACTTCACTGTATGTGTACCCATAGTCCATTATGCATTTTTTAAAAAAATAGTCTTTATTTGATCACAGTGTCTGAAATCAGTGGATGAGGAGTTAGGAAAAATATTAAATAAAGAGCATTTTAAAAATACATTTGTTTTAGTCAGTGTTCTTAATACCTAGTGCTTCTTGTCAAAAGTACTGTTGAAAATTATTTTGTAAACAATTTAATTTATATTTTTATTTTGTCCAGTTATAACATTACAGTATTTACTTTAAATGAATTCTGGAAGCATATTAAAATATTGAAGCATTTTTACAACATTTTTTAAATATTCTGAAATTGACTGTCCTAAATTAGAAATTGTTCAGAGCAGTGCTGTTTTGATAGATCTGCATGTGGTATAGAAATGAAATTGCCCAAGGATTAACCATTTGTTTTATGGTGGTGTCCTATTGTAAGGATTTTATTTACATTAATTGGCCAATATTCAAACACTTGAAAAGTACTGCTTCCATCTCACATGCCAGTCTTTGTTTTCTGAACACAGTATTGTTCAGATGCACACAGTATTGAATTTCACCCCACAGGATCCTCCTATCTTCATTAGACAGTTGGTGAGGAAAATGGCCAGGGGGTGTAGCGAGAGGAGAGAATAAGAAACCCAGCTCTGCCCAGAGAACACCACACATCCACAGGCCTTGGTGGGCCACCCTTTTTGTTTCCTTTGTTAAATGTTGCAGCTTAAATTGTTCATTGCTCGGTAATAGACACGATTAATTTTTAAAGAGCAATGTGCTGAAAGGCAGTCCTGTTTTTGTTACGATTCACGGGAAAAGTCTTCAATAAGAAATTATAGTAGTCCAGCTACTCGGAAATCTTTGATGCTAACTCCAGTACTGTTTTTCTGTTCCTTCAATGGTGGGAAATAATTCTGCTTTAATTTGTTTAGAGTAGTATTTGGTTCAAAATATGCTCCTTGGAAAGAAGTTAAGAAGAGGAAATTACAAACTCTTCTTTTAACTTAAACTGTTAAGGCATATTGTCTGCTGGCTGTAAGTTGTATTGTCTTTATATAGCAGGTTGTGATTTAAGAAATTTTATTTTTTACTCATTTATGTTTCTCTTTTTTTGTAGTTCTGTTAATTTTTGTTGATGGGACAGCTTTTGTAAACATATACTGTGCAGTATTTTTAAATGCTTTCCCTTTAAATCAGGTATAGTTCGACTGAAGTTTAGTTTTAAAACTGAAATGATTTTGCATATAAGAGTACAGGTGTGAAGGAAGGTCTGTTAGTCTCGTAATTAGTTTATAGGTATATTTCCTAATTTAAGATAACCACTAGTTAGCTGGAGATAGTGTGTGGTGGTCTCTCTTTCTAGGGTGAGAATTAGTTTGAATTAAGTTCTAATCTCATCCTGTAGAAATTGCTTCCTTTTCCTTTTTATATGAATCACAGGTCCCATTCTTAAGTGCCTTGGATTAGAGATGGGTAAGAATTTTGATTTTTTTGTATGAGGCATTCCCAGAATCTATATATTTCTTCATAAATCTACTGGAAAAAAACTTGAAATTCAGAAATGTTGAGTGTGAGAAAGTGAAACTAACAGATGTGTCCATCCCTAAATGTGGGATTAATGCAGAATCTATTTTGATGGACATAAAGCGTCAAGGTGGCTTTTGCTGGTTTCCTCACCCCTCTGTAGTCACAGGCTCCCTCTCAAAATCAGCTGCCATTTCTCCAGAATATTGAGCAAGGTGAAGTCACCTGACATCACTGTCCTGCACCTTTTGCCTGCAGGATTCTTCCAGTGGAATAAATATCATCTGTCAATGGAAGATGTCCTTCTATTTTCACCATACCAAGTCCAGGTACAATGTCTTGTAAGCAACTGTTACATTCATTTGAAGTTTAATCCCCACAGTTAATATGTACTTTATTTTGTAGTCCAAAATGAAGCACACTGAAGTTCTATTTATTTTAATGGGAGGAAAATAAGCACAATCTTAATTTATTTACAATTAGAATATAATTGATATGCTTAATTTTGCCTTAGTGGTACACCGCACCCTGAGTTCTTGATAAACCGTATTGCCAAAAGGATGTAAATTTACCTGCTCAAATGTCTGTCTAAAATGTGCCTTCTAAAAAAGTAAATAATTTGTGTATCAGTGGTAAAATGTGGGGCAGTAAGTTCAGGGAAATGTAAAGTTCAAATAGTTTGCCTGGAATTTAAAAAAAAAAGTGAATTTTGTCCAATAAAAGTATCAATTTTGATGAGAATCTTAAATTCAAGTGTCCTGTTTTATATGTCACTGTACAGCCGTTTCTTCTAGCTTCACTTACAGATGAATTTTAGACTTTGTTCAGTGTAAAAGCAAGTATTATCAGCAATGTTTAATGGTTTGTGTGTGAGAAACAGTAGCTGTAGATATACAGGTTGGTATATGTACATATGCGTACAGGGTATATGTATATATAGCAAGTTTCTTAGAGTGGACATGTGCCTCTGTTAAATCTTCTAGACACCCCAGTAGCATTTGTTAAAGGCAAGTTTCATATCTTTTTGGAATACCTTTAAGGGATAATGTAATAAAAATGAGGAGGGCAAAATAATGTGGCAGTTTACAAAGCTAACAGATTTATTTCAGTGTGGGCTTTCATTGATCAAAGTCCACTTCATTAGATGACAGGTGCTGATACTGTCTCCTCTATACTTATCCATATCCTCATAGTAGTGAGAGTCATGACCAGATTTTAAAAAAGATAATAGACAAATTGCAAATGCTTTGTTAACATAAGAATAGAATGATAAAGCTGTCAATTACTTAAGGTTGCAGGTCCTAGGCAGGGTCATAAGTTGTATTTCAGATGATAAAGTGGCTAGGGTTATATTGATATATGTATAAAATATAAAGGATACAATATTTGCACTCCTTGGACAATTTCCTGTTGCTTAGTATAGTGGATTCTACTGGAGTAGACCTATTGGATCAATTGGGTTTTGATGCCTCCATAACCCCTCCATAAGTTCCATTGATTCAAATGGGCCTAACTGGAAGTTGCGGTTAGAGTAGGCCTTTGTACTTGAAGTAGATTTGAACCATGAAAACTCACACTGAAATAAATATTTTAGCCTGTAAAGTGCTACAATATTATGCCTTCTTCTCTCTCATTCTCTTTCTTTTTTCCCCATCGTGCTGAGATATAGTAATATGGTGATTTCTTTCCAACTTTGTGTGGGTCAGTTTAGTATGCACTGTTGTTTATTTACTTAAAATATTTTATACCCCACTTTTCTCCTCAAAAGAACTCAAGGTGGCTTACAATATGAAAAACAAGCAATGTAAAAAGGGGAAGGGGCAATTAAACAAAACCGTGTAACAGCCCATCTCTTAGACAGCCAGTCACGGAGAAAAAGTCTGCAGATTGGGAGAACCTCAGATTGTGAGCTGTACCCTAAAGGGAGGAGTGAATGTCTTCCATACGAATGGAAGTGTGAGTGCTGGAACTGTATGTTTAGGCCAGAATAATTCAGCGTTTTATGAAGCATTTATACCTGCACTAGTCCTCCTACTTTTGAATTCCTTTGGCTGTGGAAGAATTCAGTAGAGAATGAAAGAAGCTTAAGGCTTAAAAAAGCAATAACAGCATTTATTTTTAGTATTTAAAAGTCTAGCCAATATCTGTTCTTAATCTCATTTGAGTCTACTGGGTCATTTTGCAGAGTTCAGTACATTAAAATACACTGTTATTTGCATTAATTATGCTTCCCACTACATTTATATGCATACACATCTCTTCTCTTGATCTAGGGTACTGCAAATCTGTATTTGGTTATTCCAAGTTGATGACTTGATGATGCCCTTTCACAGCTGGGTTGCCTAGAGTGTGCTGATGTTGTGCAATTGTAATGCTACATACATCTTAGCCTGCCTTTATAACCTTAATAACTCAGTATAACATGAATATCACTGCCCCACCTAATCACTTAATACAGATACAAGTTTGTATCTTCAGATCACCCATGGATACACATCGAACGATTGTAAAACATGTATGATTAGGAAAGGAAGCTTACCTTTAAAGTAAAATAAATGTCCTCATCTTGAAGACATCCATGGATTTATTAATCCATTAGTGAGTCTATAAATTTGTTCATGAAGAATCAGAGTAGTATCTACATTTGGGCAAGACTTCATACAATCATGATTGCCTGTTTCTTTACTGAAGACTAACTTTACAAGTAAAAGACAAAAGGATGATGAATCTCCCCTTGTACCCTTTTGTGCTGTTTGATTAGTCTCCAAGAGCATGAAAGATGAAGTGACGATTAATCTCTTTTTTCCAAAGGCAGATCGAAATTTGGCAGCTTTACAAGCTGACAAGTGCAGTGAGTGGAAAAGGAAATACAGTGCTTTAGGCATAATCACCTCCTGCATCCATCCATGTTCACTAGGTAGTAGTAATAGCTTTGTCACATCTTCCAGTACAACTCAGCATTGCTGCTCTGTATAGAACATGCTGGCTTTGGCAGGGAGAAATAATTTTTTACAAAGAAAGCATTTTGCTTTTCTAGAGTTGTTCTCTGAATTGTACTTCATTATTCCTTTATTATGTGCGTATTAAAAGGCAAGGAAAGTTCTTCTGTGGGAACAACTGCACAGGTCGGTGATATTGGCACTGGTTCTTGAAATGTTCAGTCATGATTTTAGATTAAAATTGTGCATTCTTAAATTAGAGCTAGACTTTTAAAATTCTGCCCAGTACTATATTATTCCCCAACAGCATATCTTATTCTGAAGTGTAATATTATTTCACCTGGAAGTAAGTCTCACTGAATATGGAAGGCCTAAAGCACAAAACTAAGATTTGTTTTTCCCATAATACTGTATAACATTAAGTAAAAGAAGCCTTGCGTTTTCAAGAACTGAGCAAAGCTGTTACTGGTAAGACATTCTGGAGGCCATCCATGTTGTTGTTATGTGCTCTGAATGGTGACCTCTAAAATGTCCTGTCTTCAACAGCCTTGCTCAGCTCTTAAAAACTCAAGTCTATGGCTTCTATAATGGAATCAATCTATCTCTTATTTGGTCTTTTCCTGCGGCCTTCAGCTTTTCCTACCATTATTGTCTTTTCAGCAAGTCTTGTCTTCTTATGGTGTGTCCAAAGTACAACAGCCTCAGTTTTGTCATTTTTGCTTCTAGAGGAAGTCCCAGCTTGCTTTGATCTAGGATC